TAGAAACTTCCCGTGTCGTTTTTTTCATTCGATTCCTAAGAATAAACAGATTAAGGGCATTTCCCCGCTTTGGTAGCATAAAAACATTTTTTCACAGTTCTATTGTTCATACCAGTTATCTCAAAGTCAAACATTTAACATAGGTATGCTGATTTCTTTCATTCTTTCCCATTACTGTATTGTTGTCATGCAGACGATCTGATTTGTTTAGCAAAGGGGGATAATTCAAAAAAGAAACGAAAGTAGAAAATAAGTCAGGAACGTAACGGACAAGTTTCGAAATTCAGGAAAATATCTATTAGAGAAAAAGTATTTAATTGTTCCTTCATGAACTTCTGGAAGCGGGAAATATACATGTAAAGATAGCAAAGTAGTTCCGGCTGCTAAGTGCAAGTGAACTCCAGATTTTATTGATGCAGTTATCAAAAGAATTTTTTATCCAATCAGAATCAATTATTTTATAGAAATTAAATGATATATCAATGAAAACACTGAACATTTTTTCCTGTATTGTAAAAATTAAGCTAAAATAAGAAAAGAATTATTTCACACCATAAGAAATAACAAAGGAGCGAAAGACCTCGACACAATTCTATTTGGGGACTTGGTTCACCAAAATAATATCAATATGTAAAAGCCGTATATAAGTATGTTAAAAAATTCTAAAAGATTTTTTTGAATAACCAGCGTAACCATTCTGTATCTTTTACAGCCCCTTCCATCTTTCTTCCCTCCTTACACTCCTATTCCCTTAATTTCTTTCTTATTACTTTGCACCCTTTTTTTTTTTGTATTGTACATTTGTTGGTTGTTCGTCACGTGTTTATGTATATGTCATTTTGTTTTTGTTGGAGAGGACAGGTGGATATAACTTGAATGTGTCAAATCCCATTGATTATGTTTCTATAAAATATATTTAAATCAAATCAAATTTTTTTTTTGTCTTCCCTGTTTCGAAATGGTTATTGATTTTAAGTGATTGAACAAAAAGAGGTCCCAGACAGGCCATAAAAGAGCAAGGTTCACTTAGGGCCTTTTTTGGCCCTGTGAAATTCTGAAATATCAAAACTGCTTAGTTTTAGTTGACAATTAATGCATTAAATATCACTTGAATCCTTGATTCTGCAGTACCTAAGGTTGCTTCTGTATAAATATGACTAATAATGGCTTAGTTCTTCTTGAGAGGAAGATTTTAAAGATATTTCCTTCGTAACGTGTATGATCAGGTTCTTTCAAGGGATATATAGGTTTTCCTTTTACTCTGTCTGAGTTAATGATTGGAATGGTTATTAAGACAGCTGAGGGTATATCACATAGTACTTAAATTTTCTCTTATCTAGAGATGGGTACTGTGTAAGGTACTACTTGCACCGTGTTACTCCCCTAGGTTCCCATTGATAGATAAGAAGCAGTTGTCTCAATCTTCTTCAGATTTACTACACTCAGAACTTAAGTACTTAACGAAGATTGCATTGAAGTGTATGGAGCAATTTTTTTAAAAATAAAAATTCAAATAATAAGAATATCAATAAATACTGTAGAGAAAAAAATGCACTAAAACACGTAAGAAATAGAATGACAATTGAAAATGAATTTTTTTTTTTTACCAGGTACGATTTTTAAAATTGATTTTTTTTTTATTAATTAAAAACAGAGGGCAATAACTCTTACCAAAATTCAAGTTCATAAATTAGGACACATCCCACCTTTACATGCTAATAGTAATAAATGGGAATATGTCTAACTATACTGAGTATTCATAACCTACACATCTGTTATGTATTCGATTTCATTGAATCTTTTGCTATTAGGATGGAATACCTTAACTTTTTTATTGCTGATTCTCGATCCAACTTCTTCTGCTACCTTCTGATTGCCTGACTTTCCCAAAACTTTGCCTTATATACCCTTTTAAAGCTAGTCAATTCCAAGGGTTGTCAGGTCATTCCACTATTTGTAGTCTTCAATGCGTTTTTTACTCCAATGCCTCTTAACCATTACAGCTATATATTGATATGTTAACCTTGACCCACTGTTGTATCCCCGCCCTACCCCAGGGGTCATGATTGGAACAAATTTTAATCTACACTACCTGAGGATACTTCTGTATTAATATGTCTAATAATGGCTTAGCTGTTCTTGAAAAAAAGATTTTGAAAGGTATTTCCATTATATTCTTATGGTAAACTTTGATCCCCCTGTTGTGGCCCTGTCCCACCTCCAGTGGTCATGATATGGGTGAAACAAACTTGAATCTACACTACCTGAGGATACTTCTGAAAAATATGACTAATCATGGCTTTGCTGTTCTTGAGAAGAACATTTTTAAAGACATTTCTTATAAATTCCTATGTAAAACTTTGACCCCCTCTTGTGGTCCCGCCCTACCCCCGGGGATTATGATATGAACAAATTTGAATCTAGAGTATGTAATGAAGCTTTCGCTTAAGTCTCATCTAGCCTTGCCCAGTGGTTCTTGAGAAGAAGATTTTTAAAAGATGCCACCAAATTTTTACAAATTCTTAATTATCTCTCTTGAAAGAGAGCTCGGCACTTCCTGTTAACAAACTTAAATCTCCTTTACCTAAGAATGCTTTGTGGCAATTTTAATTGTAATTGGCCCAGTAGTTCTTGAAAAGAAGTCGATAATGTGAAAAGTTTACAGACGACAGACGGACGCCGGACACTCTTTGATCAGAAAAGCTCACTTGAGCCTTCGGCTCAGGTGATCTAAAAATCACACGAATGCACATGTACAATATACACTGTACTCTTCTTTGTTCTTTTATTCAGAAACTACATGTTGCATCTTTGTCAAGTTGATATGGGTTTGATGATGATGTTCAAATTATTAATCGAATTTATTTGAAAAAAAGTATTCCAATGCTCTGAAGTATTTTTTAAAATATAAACATGCATGTGACATATTTTTTGCGTTATTTGTAAGTGTTTGCTTAAGAGCATAAATATAAATATAACTAATAGGGAAACATTCGTTGTTGTCTGTAATCATTATATCGTTGGATTTTCTTTTAAATATAACTGTCTGTTAGAATGGAATTCAACTGAAATTTAAAGTACTAGTAAACATTCTATCGAAACTGAACAAAGAGGTTTTGAGTGTTAGTCGCTAAATGTTTTTGTAATTAGTCAACTTCCACACTAAGTGTAGTCATGTGACATGAGCATTCTAATCTCTGTGAAGATGGAGGATAGTATGCACGGCTTCGGTATGTAAAGAAATTTTATATTTACTTCATAGTCTAGAGGTTTGGACGTTATGATTTTATCTATATAATTATAACATTAAATCGAATGCCCTCTTTTACTCCATACAATTATGCATCATTTGCTCTATAAGCTTTGTTTGTTCCAATGCACAACAAGCGTAGATATACAATTACATAGAAATAGGCAGTCTATGATACTAAAGGATATATTTATAAAAATTCAAAGTTGCAATTGCAAAAAACAAATACCATGTGCATTTAAAAATAAACACCAACAAAAAAGTTTATAAGGCATATGAACAATGCAAAGTTACATGTACTGAAATGTGCAATTTACCAAGATAAACTTACCAAGATATCTGTGAAATCTTTCAATTATTATGTTTACAAGAATCTATCCTTGTAAAGAAGGATTCGATTTAGGTTACTTTTTATTCTAAATATAATGCAACCAATGGGCAATAGAGTGATCAAATTTCATACGTTGTTTATTCTTAAGTTTCCTCCAATAACATGGAAAATGATGAAAATATGCGAGGAAAACAATAAACAAATTGTGTTACAAATTATTGATAATTTAAGCGCTTTTAATCTAAGATCATGTTCCTTGTTTTTATTTTTAAATACCGCAGTAAAATCGGAAAAGCTAATAAATCAAACTTCATCCCTAGTATTCAAATGCGTTTGCGTATTTGCTTACATATTTTTCTAGTACTGTATATTGATTTTTCAATGGTTTTAATTGTTTACTTATATCATTTATTTAACTAAACCCTTTTTAAGATATCAAATTAAAAAAAAAAGTTTTCCGTACAGAGAATGCAACATATTACCCAATACTTGAAATTAATGAAAAGGCACCTGTACGAAGTGTACAAAAAAAATTAGAGAATTTGACAGTACATTATTAGTCACCAGCTTTTTGAAATACTCAAATGTTTAACTAATTACATCTGTAATGATTTTCAATAGAAACCATAAATACAGATTCCAAATGATCTCAAATAGAAGTCAGCTACTTACCATATTTGGGAAGGGAAGGGAGGGGTTCTCACAGGATGAACCTGCACCCTTCAGTCAACTGAATGGTCACTGAAAGGTCGGGAAAGGTCACTGAAAGGTCGGGAAAGGTCACTGAATGACAGAGCTCTGCCAGCCGTTCAGTCCCCTTTCTGTAGTCTTTCAATACACCTGTCAGTTAACTGAATGGCAGAGATTCATCCTGTGTCTGGTAAAGCATTTTTCATTTTATTTCTTGGTGTCCGTTTTGGGCTTAATTATGTCTGATTTTATCAAAATAAGATCAGAATCACGTGTGGATTTGATAACTGGGTGTTTCCCCCATCTATCGTTTCCCTAATCCATATATATGTCAGTAAGTCAAGGATAGCCTCTATAACAGATGTTGCTTAGAAATTCTTTTCCCTGTATATTATTTTGAATATTTACCAATATATATATATATAACTTCCTTTTGAAAGCTTTCGCAAATCCTCGACGTTTCGATGTGATTGAATATCAGTTTTGGATTATTAAAAATAGTTCAGCAAAGGGATTATAACATTGACATCACAAACTTTTACACTTTGATGACTCGTTAACATTAAAGCTTCTCCATGGTGAAGCCCTGCTCTGAAGAGGGGATTTCCTATTACAGTTCTAGTGGCGGAAATTGGGATTACAAACACAAAATTTAATGGCGAAGTCTTTGTTTAAAGCTTTTACGTTGATAATTAATTTCGTGATAAATGTTTGAGGAAGATAATTTTTTCAAGCTATTACTGTATCAATGGATACGAGGGTACCCCGCACCGCTCGGATCAGAGACAGACAGGGTAAGCTAAAATGAGGGTCGGAGGGAGTGGATTTTAGGGCTTTGCTTTGTTATCATATTCAAATAAAGTTCCATAATGAACGTTCCTGCATTAATACAATTTATAGTTATGATTTTTAAAACGTTTAATAATTATTTTAGTCAATTTAGGAGTGAGTCCACAGGATATAACTGTATTAAAAGTCCTAAATCCTTCTTTCCATTGCCATTAAATAACTTTATGGCGTAGGCTGTTTTATGGTTTTGTAATTTTCTGATTTTCGATTAAAAAAAGCTGACTACATGTATAATCTGCTTTCCTCCCAGCGTCATCATTTTCAACATGTATTTCCGGAGGAGATTACCGTGAACTTCACGCCGCTTTTTTGTTCAGTGTTTTTTTGTTTATACTAGATGTATGTTTGATGATACATCTGTTATTTCTGATTGTTTACGCTAAAATGTATTATACAAGTACAAGCATTTAATATAGAATTTCCAACTAAAATAACCAAAATACACCTATATTTTGCTAAACTTGAAAATGTTAAATTAAGTGTGTGAAACAAATACATTAGTTTGATACATGTATATATATTTCTGATCCCTTTCTAGTAGAAACATTTTCAAGTTTAGGAAAAAATATAGGGGTATTTTGGTTATTTTAGTTGGAAATTCTGTATTAAATACTTGTACTTGTATAAAATTTAGGATGTCAGCAAAAAAAAAAAAAAAAAAAAAAAAAAAAAAAAAAAAAAAACAATCAATCAATCAATCAATCAAAATATTAAAAAAAAAATCGTCGATCGTTGTTAAATTCACGTTTAGGAAACTTTGAAACACCACTTCTGTTTTTCTCAATAAGTAAGCTTCAAAGATTTACAGACTCCTTAGTTTTTTGTTTTTTGTTTTTTTTTGTTTGATACACAAAGAGTCCTCTATCATCTAAAGTTTCTTTATTTCTGTACTCGCAAGCATTTTTCGTCTGTCGCTTGTTGTTTTCAAGTAAGCTACATCGGACACAAGCTTTGACTGACGCCAAGTTTATTCGGCTTCTTTCAAACGCACAACTGACGTTTTGAGAATTCTACTGTGCGCGCATGATTTGCAGGCATGTGTCATTATTGTTGTGTTACCCGTTGTCAAGTGTGTTGCTAACGCTGAGGGTAACATTACGGATTGTTTAATGCGTCTAAACCAATCCGATTTTAGTATTTAACATAAAGTATAATAATACAGATAAACCCACGTGTAAGAAATAGTTACTGTATATGTACTGTCCCATCTATGAAGAACCTGTATCATTTAAAACCAAGATCTATTGCACATATAGCCAAGTGTTTGATAATATTGAATTTCACATTGATCTCATTACACTTTCCTTTTTCTCTTGTTATAAATAGGTGGCGTACTTATGTTGCTGTTGCACGTGTTAGAATGCATTTAAAATTTGCACATGTACTAGTATACATGTATGTGCGCATAGAGTAAATCCCTTTACATATTTTAAAATTGACTGGGACACTTTTTTCTCAGAAATTTGATGTTCTTCTTTTTCAGAGAAATATCAGTATGATTTGAATAGGTGTTATATGCACTACTTTGATTTGAACAACAATTCGGCAAATTACACACCACCGGAAACTACTGCGCCACCAGAACTAACGACGATCATTTCTCACCAAATTACTGGCTCAGGTAACCATCTGTGTTACGTTTACATGTATATGTTAAGTCTACCGTTTTGATCTTTTATTAATTCTTTTTCAAAATATAGATTTTTGACATGTTTATGAACTGGATATGAAACTTTGTGGCAGCTGGTTTCATTTTCTTTTATAATTCCCCTTTTGCCTGTAATATCGAGAAAAGATTTTCTCGCTTTTGTCCCTGTTTGTATGCAATTAAGATATCTTCAATACAATCTTATATTCGAGCAATTTACAATTCTTTAGATATTTTAATTCATTCCAGTTTTATTTATTATAAAATAAAAAGTAATATTATCAATACAATCATCAATGCAATTTTATTTTATTTTGTTTTAATCGATCTTAACGAATAATGATCTTATAATTATCTATCAAATCCTTGATAAGCTATTATATGTCTTGCATTGATTGACTAAAAATTAGTCGTGATCATGATCTATATATGATAAAGGTTGACTTTTTTCATTTCAGATATTTTGAGTAAATATTTGATATATATAATAGCAGCAGTTGTTGCGTTCGTCATAGTAGCGTTTTTTGTCATCTGCTGTTGTATTCGACAATGTACGACTGCAAAGAAAGAAAGAAGAAAAAGGTATTATTAATATAAAGAGTTTGTAAAAAAATTCTTCTTTCAGAGTTTAGATTGGCCGCAATAAAAATCTTCTTTCAGAGTTTAGATTGGCCGCAAATTAGATACATGTATATGTGTACGGACAGAGGCACTTGTTTACATATAACAACTGCCTATTCCTTGAAATCAATCGCCTTTCACTATAGAGTTAGAATTTACGTATCACAAAGTTTTGGTGGTGGCACCTACAAATGGTCCCCTTTAACCGATTTTAAAGAAAAAAAATTTGAAGAGAAGCATTACAAATGTGTCTGTTTTTTTAGTATATTTTAAAAGAATTCAACAAGATGACATAAAGTAAAGAAAGATCAAAGGTAGATATCACCAATGCTGGTCTCCACAATTGTCTGTACCACGTGAAGGCCCATCTGTTTTTCCATATAGTAGAACTCTTACATTGTATGATCTTAGTTACATATCAGGTGTTCTTCCGAGCTTGCCGCAAAAGCCCCAAGTAGTTACTAATATCCTAAAAGTATCATAACAATTTTTATTTTCATCTGTGAAATTATTTTTTGTGGATTGGAGGAATAAGTACATTATTTACCATTTATGAGGCCTTGTTTTTATACTAAATTTGATTACGGATTATTCCGTCTACCTGATCAGTACATTGGGTTCCCGTCCACAGGAGATACTTACTCCTCGTAGGCACCTGATATCACCTCTGGAACATCCAGGGGTTCGTGTTTTATGCCCTGCTCACAGATTTGTAATGTTTGTAGTTTTTTTAATCGATCACTGTTCGCTATCTTCACCTATTTCAGTATCGAAGTGTTAAGTTTTTTCAATACCTGGTACACGTAGATGAAAAAAGACATGAAAGCGATTCTAAGAAACTTTTAAACAGTCATTCGATAATAATAATGAGAAAGTGTCCTAGCTAGTTTTTGAGTTTGATTGTATACAACAACTCGATAAATTAAATACATAGCATGTATGTATACATGTAGATGTCTTGCTTCCTGAAGATAAAGATCAAGGATTATTTCAGAAATATGTGATTATGGAATTGATTACCTTTAATAAAGCATAGTATAATTCAAAATTATTCCCAACTGTTGCATACTTAACTTAAGCAACCTTAAATATTGAGTCGTGATATTGTACAAGGTGTAATATACACAAAATTTTGCGATTCGAAAATGCAAGTTTAACGTGAATTTGAACATTCTATCCACAAAACACTCTAAAAGAGAGCAAAGGGAAGAAATGTATGTATTTGACAGATATTTTGAAAATAAGTTTAACATTATGACAGTCTTAAAATTCTTTAAATTTGCAGGAAAGAAATAGAGGGAGAGTATAAGATTGTAGCAAGCACTTTAACAAACATAACGGATTCTGAGGACGGCTGCGCTTACGAGACGTTGAGCATGGTAATTATTAACAGATCTTAAGATTGTCCTCAAAAGAAAACAAAACACTGTCAAAACAGTGATATCACACTGCTTAAATAAGATACATGCACTTTAAGTCTGAGAATCACTTTGATACGTATTGAGTATGTTTCAATGTATAGACTTTCAATCCAGAAGAATGTGAAAATGTTTAATAAAAACAAGTAAATGATATTTACTATGTTGTGTTTATTTGCATTAGGGATTTTTTTTTTATTCTTTATTTTTGAATTTAGAGAGATCCAACTTATAATGGAGGTGTACAGCTGCCAACCCGGAAACAGCAAAAAGGAAAAATAAAAGGAGTGTCCAATCCTTTCTCGGTCATGAAGCGACTCCTGAGTGAGGATGGAGAAAGCACTGGTAGTACAGACACTACTATTACATATACATCGGACAACAAGCGGTCACAACCACTTCCGGCCATACCGGAAGCTTACAATAACAAAGATAACGTAAAAGCCATAGATGAATATACGGATATCGGATCGGAAAGTATTCGACGCAAAAATGAATATCATCATCTCAATTCGTCAACAAAAGATTCATTTTATGATGGTAATCCATACGACACTTTGAGTGAAAGTCACCTACTAAGCACTGGAGTCAAAGAAAATAAAACAGATGATTACTTTATTCTGGAAAAGGCGAAATCAGATAATGGAAAAGACATAGAAAATCCCCAGAGACAGAGTGGTGGGTACTTTCTATTGGAAAAAGTAAACAGAGTCGGTTCAGAAAAGGGGTTGTGTAAAAGTAGTTCTCAAGGAGTTATTATTCCATCGGAATCTGTACGTGCGCTAGAAAATAGCTTGACTGCTAAATATAGTGATCAAAATGTTGCTAATGAGGCAAGGACCGTAAATCAACGACTAGTCAGTGATGATTCAGATTTAACAGATTCTATCACAAATAATCAGGGAAGTGAAAATCAGAACAGAGCAAGCAATGCATATTTTACGCTTTCTAAAGAAAGTGATTCGAACAAGGTGGAACCCACTCCCCCTCAAAATGAATATCTAGACCTTGAACAACCTGCAGGCATTTCTAATCGAACATCATATTTAGAACCCTCTGAAATCCAAAGACACAGCTATGTTGATGTTGTGGCGGACTTCTCTCAAGGTAAAAGTAAAAAGGGAGGTACAATACCGGCCTACGCAGTGGTGAAAAAGTGAACTTCAGTCAGATGTCCTTATACTTGTAAATAAACACGAACTGCTGTTTTCTGATAATACAGGGGGCTAGCGTATCAGAGGAAAACGGCCCTTAATGATAGCAATCCACTAAAGGGGAAACAAAGACCTATTTTCTGACAAAGTGGGTTGTACTTTTACTTTTATAAGAGGAGCTTTTTGCTTGTTATTTATACGAAATTCTTTTTAAGTGAAAGATATGCTAAGCAGTTAATTCCCTCCCTGCACGATACGAATGTCACCATAAGTATGTCGCTGAACATTTTTTTAAAGTGGGATGGAGTTTTTGTTGGAGAGCAACAGTGCCCTTATGATTAGTACTTAAAATTAAAAAGTAACGTTGTTTAATTTGAGATTAAAGTACGCTTGTATGAATGCTTATTAGGAAACCATAAATAAATATTAGAGTCTGAATTCGTAGTCTAGTCATTCTTCTTAATCTGGAATTCCTCTATTCAAAGTTGAATTAATTAATGTTTAAGACATTGTATGATAAAAACAAATAAGCATGGATATTACGAAACAATATACAATGAAAACCCACAGTCATTGCAATATTTCTCTTCATCCTCGAAAAATTCGACAGAAACAAATAAAAGACATTATAATGATAAAAAATTTCGAATCAGATAAAAAAAGAACATGATGATACTATTAGCTTAACAAAATTCTGTTTCTATATTTAAATGAGAAATGCTGCTCATACTTTCATCCAAAAGTAGATATTAATATTAACAATATGCCCAAGGGCCCTATTGGTCACCTGAGTGTAAAACAATATAAATCATAAAGTATCCACTAAAGAATGAAATAAAACAAAATACCTTGTGAGATGAAGATATGATGCCCCAAATCAAGCATAATAGGATGACATGGGATAATAAAAATAGATAGTTTAGCAGGGTTGGCCGGGAAATACCAGTGGTGGGAATTACCAGTGGTAAATACCGGTATTTCCCGTCCCGGGAAATACTACAAATTTTCTCTTAAGTGGGAAATACTGGGAAATACGAAAATGAAGTTTATTTGTTTCTTTAATTCATTCAATCTTATGCAAAATTCAGAAATAAAATAAATGTAAAAACAGATGAGTAATATTGAACGTGTCTCAAACTGCAATTTTACATATTCGGAGTGTATCACTACTCCAGGTCCCCTACCCATAAGCATTCTGTAGCAGTACATGTTTCCCTAGCAATATATTAAGAACAGAACTGAAGTTGTTTTAATTCAAGTTTCTTTTCAGTTTTGTAAAATTATTAAGTTTATTAATTATAAATACAAGAACAAAATAAACTTGTTTCAATCCTTCTATAAACACCTTAGTTATTACAATCAATCATGTTGTTTTAACAAATTGCTCTGGAAGGTTTTATGCTCCTATTTTGATCGAGAGATAATTACTTTGAGTAGAACTGAAAGGCTTCTTCTTATATATGATATTTACACCATACTCTACATTTACCAATTTTCTTAGTTTTCTTAGATCCTTCATTACTTACATAAAAACCCCAACTGGGATCTTTGGGACCTTTAAAGACTACATCAGACTCAAGCATGAAACACATAACACTCATGACTGGAATATGAAAAATAGTGTCATATGCATATAATTATATAAAATGAAATACTTGGAAACCAAACTATTTTGAATCAGGAACAGAGATACCGGTTAGATATTTTAGCCAATAAGGTGTCTATACCCTGACAAATATGATTAAAATTATGAAAAACATAGGTTATTTCTTATTTCCCAGTATTTCCCGGGAAATACCAGTAAATCCCGGGAATTACCAGTATTTCCCACTGTCCTGGGAAATACGAGTATTTCCCGGTTTTTTGCCAACCCTGTAGTTTAGTACTCAGTGATAAATCATAAATAGATCTATTTACTTGCCAATACTAATGTACTTCTATGAGAGGTTATCAAGAGGTTCGTGGACAAGCGCCATAAAATTAAAACCGCTTTAGGTACATCAATGCATTTTTAAACAATTAATTAGCATAATCTTTTCTATGTATATAATGAACCATAAATCATAAATTTTATTTTTTTAATAAATTGTTAATTTTTTTGTAAGCAACGGTATGTCCAGGCGGCGCAACCTCGAAGATGACGTTTTTTCACACTTCTTCAGCGTAGGTACCACTAGTATGGAGACCAAAAAATTCACTAGAAACCATTGATAAGCCTCACTCTATGGTTTCTTATAAAGATTATAAAAATGTGTAGTTGGATTTTCTTATTTAATTAAATCTCAAAAAGCATGAATTGAATCATAAACAATTAAGTCTTGTAAATGAAAATCAGCAAAATGTTGGACTATACATGACAAAATTCACAAATTCAAATCAAGTGATATAAGTGAAAATTCTGTTTAATAACATGACCGTATTTACATGTACAACCTTACTTTATTTTCAAAAGTAATTTTTAAATAAAATAAAAACTTGTAGAACCCTTCCCCAACTGCTTTTTTATATTTGTTTTGTGAAAAATTTACTTTTTAATATCAGATGACAGGAAGGCACGGTCCTGCAACACGTGCAGTGATAAGCTAACTGCTTATAAATCACGGGTGTCGTCCAATACACACTAGCTATAATGTAAACTCCTATGTACCTTTGAACTTGTTACCGAGAAAAACTCTTTAGATATGAGCATTTGTCATAAAAAAATCCTGTTAATTCACTCATGTGGTAGGACAAACTTGTTCCGTAAAATTTGCAATATTTACTTCATTCTCTAAGTTCTATGAAATTTTATTGTAAATTTATATGGAATGTCCAAACAGTTAATGGGTTGAAAATGACGTCAAAAGGAGGAATAGTTTCTTTTTCCAGCCTTCTATAAAGTTTTACCCCTGAAAAAAAAAAAAAAATAGACCTAAGAAATGTTTAAACGTGCTACATAGAAATAAAATGCATCCAGAGTACTTCTTTTTAAATGCCGGAAAAGATTCACAGAGAGGAGAGATGCGCAGCTAATGTCCTTTGTAGTCAGGGTGTCCAAAGTCAGTCACGTCGAAATGTGACGTTGATCATGTGTGATATATATTAAACTCAGACCAGAAAATTATGCTGGCATAATCAAGTGAGAAGTGTTCCTTGTGTATAGATTCATTCACTCTATATTATTTGCATTGAAATAAGCTGAAATAAGCTGTTAGTGAAATTGTAAAATCATATAAGCAAGACCAGTTCAAATTGTTATTTAACTACAGGGAATCTCATCAAGTAGAGTGTATGAAATAGATGGAGCGGACATTGAGAAAAAATGACGTTGTCGGACTTCAAGAAACTAAACAGCGACAGCGCCGGGTGATCATATAATGTCTTTTTTATTTAATGATAATTTGGCAAATTATCAACGTATCACGCTAAAATTTTCAACACTTCTTAAACTTTTGTTGGTTAATATTCCTTAAGAATTTTTAAGAACAGACTACATAGTATTAATTTTATCACATCAGTCCACGAACTTTTTGATAACCCCTCGTATATACATGTCACTATCACTATGCAGACTAAATGATACAGTTATACACTGTAGTACTTTTAAAGAACATTGAGAGAACTCTTCACATTCCTTAAATTCACACATAGGCCTTTCTTGGTCTTCCACGAATATATAATGTACATGTACAAACTTAAGGTAATTTTGTCTCATTTTTATTTATTTACTATTTACAAGTCTATCTGATCAAATATTTTTTTTAATTATCATATATTAAAAATTCATGATTGAAGAAGAATTTCAAAGTTTTAATGCATTTTCACTATATAATCTATAGGAACCCTCCTTAACAACAAAAACCTAACCCAATGGCTATGAATTTCACAATTTTGGAAGAGATATCCTTGCTCATGAAAACCATACACTTAGTTTGTTTGCTTATTTCCAGGGCCAGAGAAGATTTTTGAAGAATGAAATTAATGTGTTTTTACTATCTGATCAACGTTGCACAACCTGACACAAGAACCCATGACCCAAGTGGAATGAATTTCCCACTTTGGAATTGGCACCCTTGCTTATCATAATCATGCACTTAGTTTGTTTGCTTAATATCCAGGAGCAAGAGAAAATTTTCAAAGAAAAACACATTTTAACTATATAATCAATAGAGTCCCGCCTAAAACCAGAACCCCTGTCCAAGGGGCCAGGAATTTCAAAATTTCTAAAGAGGCACCATTGCTCATCATTACATGTACCTATGCACTATGTATGTTTTCTTAATACCAAGGAGTAGAGATAAAGATCCCCCCCCCCCAAAAAAAAATGCATTTTCACTATATGATCAATAGGACCCCGCCCTAACACTAGAACCCCTGACCCAGGAGCCATGTATTTTCACAATTTTGGATGGCGCTTCCTTGCTTATCATTACCATGCACCTGGTTTGTCTGCTAAATATACAGAAGGAGGGAATCGAAGAATTAAGCTTTTTGAAAAAAAAGTATTCATTTTCACCATATGATTAATAGACCCCCCATCTAACTCCAGAACCCCTGACCCAGGAGCCATGAATTTCACAATTTTTGTAGAGGGCTTTATGCTTATTACAGTCAGGCCAACAGGTTAATTACTTGATGTCCAGGAGTAAAGAAGAATATTTTTAAATAATGCATTAATTATGATGGTCTAAGCCCACGCCCCAGGGGGAAGGGACCATGAAATTCACAATTTTCCCCCTTTACCCATAAATGCATGCTATATGCCAAAAATGGTTGAAATTGGTTCAGCGATTCCAGAGAAGAAGCTGAAAATGTTCAATAGTAACGCACGAACGAAAACAGAAATAGGTCATATGAGTGACTATTTTGATCTAGATACAGTGAACAGAAAAAAAAATCTACTTTCAACTTAATTTTTTCACACAGAAAAATTCTCCCTCTTTGCACTTCCCGCCGATAAATCATGTCATGTGTTTATTTTACTAACATTCTTGGAACTAATAAGCAAAATATTAAGTGATCGTGATTTCATTATATTACAAATAGTATTTTTACACTTGAAGTGTCTGATAGAATACAAACATAGACTAAACACAAATATCATTCTTCCGAAACTTAAATTACCAAAACATTGAAAAAATAATTATCGCTACAATTAACACAGAAACTTTGGAGACTGGAATTATACGCTATAAGTACAGGCAGATGGGGGTGGTGCAGCATTTCTTTCTGATGAAAAGAAGGTGGGGGGGGGGTACAAAAAACTTATGGAGCAAAAAAAAAAATCGTTAAGAACTATATACTGCCGCTATATGACCTACACGAACATGTACATATGCACGTACGACTTCCCCGGCCCAGGCATGAACTGGTACATGTGGCAAGTTACAATGTAATACATAATCGTTGAAGGAGATTACAACTTTCTCAATCCAAAATCCCTAGGAAGGAAATAGC